CCTTCGCCTTGCCCTTCGCCTTGGCCTTAGCCTTGCTCTTCGCCCTCGCGCCCGCCTCGGCCGAGGCTTCGAGCATCTTCCGCTCGAACTCTTCTATGGTGTCGCCAGCGCCAGCGCCTCTGTCAGCCGCCAGGGGCTGCTGGGCCGCGCCAGGCAAGTCCGCGCCAGGCGAGCCCACAAGAGGCGAGTCCCAGCCAGGGCCACTGAGAGGGCTGCTCGCCGTAGAAACAGCAGCGGCACCCATCGGACTACCAGAACCGTCTGCGACAGCGGAGGGCCCATGTGGCCCGACGGCGGCGCCACCCCTGGGAGGGTTGTAGATCATCCCTGGGATGACGTCCTGGCTCTGCTGCTGCTGCCGCTGCTGCATCTCGTACGCCATCTGCATCATCTGCATCATCTGCGGGTTCATCGGGAAGCCAAAGTTGGGGAACTGGTGCTGGGGGGACTGGGTGGCCAACTGCATCTGCTGCTGCGGCGGCGGCGCTTGCGGCTTAGCCTCGGCCTTTAGGGCGCGGGCACTGCCCCTCACCCAGACGGTGTTGTAGACTTGCTCCAGCCCAGGCAACGTCGGCGTAACTGGTTGATCGTCCCCATACGCATGCTTGAACTCCTGCGGGCTGAACTGGTCGGGCGACTCGGGATACCTTTTGCGGTGGGTGAACGGGCACCTGCCGCGCTGAGCGTCCAAGGCTTTGACGGCCGTTTGGAACTTCCTGGCCAAGGTCTGCTTGTAGGTCGCGCTCAGCACGTCGTTGTCCAGGTCGGGGCTGGCAACGATCAGGATTGCCGCAGCCCTCTTCAGCAGTTTGTTCCCTGGGCATGTGATGCCCATGGAGTGCATCCTCATGGACATGACCCTGACCTTGGGGTCGATGCCGTGCTCGGGCGATCCGATGAAATCGAAGTCCGACTGAGTGAAGAAGTTCTGCAAGAAGTCGTGGGCCTGCTGAGGCCTGCACCCCGCGCCCTCGCCGTTGTGGAGCCCTGCGGCGTTGCGCATGGCGTTCTCGTTGAGTGCGTTGGCCAGCTGTATCTTCTGCTCTGGAGAGAACGCCGAAACAGCAACTTGTCGGGATACCTGCGTGGCCACATCGTGGTCTACCCCCTCCGAGTTGAAGAACTCCGTCGCCAACATGTTCGCCTGGCTGGTCTTGAGCGCCTCGATGGGTAGACCGCTCGCCGCCTGAGCGGTCACGTACTGGATGCGCTGCTGCAGGATGGCGCACAAGCGCTGGGCATGGAACGACATTGCTGTCGCCATAGCTGGCACGAGGTGGCAACGTAACCTAGTGTCGGAAGCCTCTCAAAAAGTAAAATCTGATGCGGCTAAAACGAGCTATGAGGTGGCAATGGCAGCGGGATGGTCGACAAGTGTTGCCTCGGAGCGCCCCCACTGCGCGATAGTGAACGCCCGTGCCTTGACCTGGGGGGCGTGCTCCCCTCACCCCCCGCACCAAGTGCCAGCCTGAGGCGAAGCGGGAGGGCGCGCGAGAGGCTGGAGGACGTAGAGAGAATGAGTGCAAACCGAAGCAGGAGGGGCTAGTGGGCAGGGGGAGGTCACACCTTACAACGATGAGCGGCAACGCCACCTGAACGCAAAGTGATCGCGGCATGGGATGATCAAAACACTCCGACCTGAGTCGCAACGATTTCTCTCTGCTCGCCTGAGCGCGCTGTGAGCTGTTCAGGCCTGTCGCCTGAACTCCCCAGGGGACTCTCGAGCGCTCGCTCCAACGTCTCCTGAGCAGTTGGAGCCGCACAAGATGAAAACATAATGGGTTCCAACTGCGTTTGAATAACATCCGCTCGAGATGCTCACAGCGCGTTCAGGCCACAGGCCTGAACTGCTCACAGCGCGTTCGAGCACATGCCTGAACTGCTCACAGCGCGTTCAGGCCAAAGGCGCCTCCGAGCATGCCTGACCCACTGGCGTCCCAAGTACAGGCGCTTTCAACCTTGAGGCGCCCTCGCCACTATGTTTTTTGCTCTGCTGAGACTGCGATGCAACTGCCAACGTGAATCCCCCAATGCACAACGTGCGCGTCGGTGCGGAGCCACCGATGCAATGCGCTGCCAACCTAAAGCGAGCGCGCCAGAGCAATATTCACAAATTAACGCGTGCGCCGCAGCCTGTCGCCGCGCCCCTTGTCACGCACATGCCCAGAAAGCGCCCCTCCCAATGGGCAGCCACACGGACCGCTTGCAAGCCGAGCGATCACCGCTAGTGCACAGCCGAGGAGCCTCGGCCTAATCCGAGATCGGCTGATTGCGAAACTTAGTGTAAACGTCCTCTAGCACCTCAGCCAAAGTATTGACATGAGCCTGCACGGCCTCCACATCATAAGGGTCTGGAAACGGAACGGGAAAGGACTTCTGGACCCACTTGCCCTTCTTTGTGTCCCAGTAGCTGGTAGTGACAGAGTGCCGAGATGCCAACCATGAGACGTGTTCCTGAGAGATGGTCGACAGCCACTTCTTCTCTGGCTGGTGGGCTGGCTCTTTCTGAAGAAGGGCGATGCTTTCGGCACTGAATTCAATCCACAGCATGCCTCGGTCCGCAGCGGTCGAGAGGACGTTCACCGAATGACTCCCGCCATCGACTGTCTGGACTTCCAACGTCACGTAGGCTGGAATCTCGTCCTTGAGATCCTTCTTGGCGCGCTTCACTGCTGGTGCGTCGCCGTCCTGGTCCAACAACTGCTGGGGAGCTGGCTCAACTACCTGCTTCATCAGATCATGTCATTTTGTGTTCCGAGCTTCAATTAGGTAATCGACCATCTTGAATGAGCGGCCAAGGAGTTTGGCAAGCTTCGCATCGCGCCGATCGATCGGGACGAACGATTGGTCCGATGTAGGCTCATGGACAGGCTTGGTCGCCCAAGAATTGGACGGTGACGGTACCGTGCCCGACTTGCATACCAACGTCCAGCCATGACAGAGCGAAACCATTATTACGATGTGTCGGGGCTTAGTGCAACAGCTAACAGGCTCAAGTACAGCGAACCCTTGCCAGCTAAAACAGCTTCGGCATCGGACGACCCCATCTGCCCTAATTGTGATGTGTCTCTATCGATTCTTTTGCCCCTCCTCCCCTCCCCTCCCCCACAATGCTCGAGTGAGGGCCTCGACGCAAGCAAGCAAGCAACTGCGGTACCTGGCCCCCCTGGCGCCCATCGGAGGGGGAGCGGGATGTGGAAGACGAGAGGGGAGGGACTCGGTGGGAAGATGAAGGTACCATGATAAGGAAGATGAGGGGATGAGGACGAGCATGCTATAGGGAAGACGAGGTAGCGATGCTCGACTACGTTCGCTCGTGGGCCACGTTGGGACATGCAAGCCAGAGGGCATAGCCGAAGCTCGTGCGTTGCTCAGCCCATCCACCCAGAAACTCGGTCGATACCAGATGTTGTCGCTCGATTTGCTCGTTCGCTTCCACTTGTCATTCCTCCTCCTCCCCTATCGCCCTCCACCCCCTCATCCCTCACCCCCTCCTCCCTCTAATTTCCTTTCATCCTCCCCCCTCCCTTCCCCTCTGCCCTCTCATAGCCCCAGACTAATCGAAGGGGGGGGGGGGGGGGTTGCTTCGCCTCTACCCTCGCCCCTGCCCGCCTTATATTTCAGCCACACAGAGGCCAATGATAATCCACTCGCACTCTTAGGTATCTGGCCAGCCGCAATCGCCCAAGCGAAACTGTAAGTGCCAGGCGCGCGACATGCTGCGTAAACACGCGCGCCGAACCATGCAACTCACGCTACGTTTGCACACCACGAGTGCCGTCCACGACGGTCTCCCTGCTCTACAGCCATCGCGAGGCAAGAAATCTCATTCCTCCCCATCTTTGAAAACTATACCTCCCCTATCCCATCCATCAACTCACAGCGGGCTGGAGCACTGGAGCAAATACCTAGCTACGGGGCCCCGCGACGCCCATCACCGATGCCGCACCCCTATGAGTGCTGCAAGGGCTGAAGCACGACCGACCAGCGCATGGCCACCCTCAACGCGACTTACGAGACTTCGAGGGCCCAGAAGCGTCTGGCGCGGCCCTCTTCTTGGGGCTCGGGCTAGCCTTGGAATTTTTCTTGGGCGATTTGATCGTTGCAATCCTCGGGTCGGCTGTTTTCTGGAACAGCTCCTGGCCCTTCGAAAGCTTCTTAGTGTTAGAGATGACAGGCAGCCTAAGAGTGCAATTGAGATAACAATCCTCACGCTGACAACGCACATCTATGTACTTGGGGGCCATGTTAGCCAGCGACGCGTCCTGCGTCCCAGGGACGCAGTGGTACGGCACAATGAATGTATCGGCACTGGCATCCGATCCCTCTTGCGGGAGATCGCACTTAGGCACTAGGTACAGAAAGTGGGGGTTGCTATACCACGTGGGGGCGCCAGGGACAAGAATAGCGTTCGTAGGCACGGAGGTGGAAAACCCTACGGTACTGCACAAAGGCACGAGCACGAGCTCTCCTGGTTTGTACGCCTTGTCGGCGATCACCGACTTCCCCGTCTTGGCGACGACGATGGTGACGCACACGTCGCCCATGTGCTTCGCGAAGAGGTCGGCGATAGCAATGCGCACCTGGGGGCGGCGCGGGGGTCGCGGGACGTCGGGGGAGGCCGAGGACAATGGTCAGAAACAACGTTAACAGCGTGCGGAGACCATCGACTAAATGGGGTGCGAAGGAGATATGGGGATACCCACAGCAAAACCATAACAAAATGGCCGACCTAGACCCCCTCATCCCCGCATTCTCCCCCCCCCCCCCCCCAGCCCTCCCATTTAAGCTGGGGATGTTCGACGTTTTCGTTATCAGAGGGCTCCCTTCACCAACGGATGACACACGTTGAAACGCTAGCGAAAACTAACATCAGTATAACTTATGTTTTACCCTGCACGCCCCTCTCCCCCTCCATATTTCCTCATCTTCCAACCTCCTACTCCTCAGCATCATCTTTCCGCCTCCTCCTCCCCATCCGCCCTCCCCCCCCTCCGTAGCTATCTTGGCCCAAGCCGCGGCGGCGCAAGAGAGAGAGAGCGCGCCTGCGACTTCAGCATCTCGGAGCCGAGGTCCTTGTGCCTCATGGGGTTCTGCTGGGCGTTCGCGGGGTCCACCTTAATCTCGAACTTCTCGGACTCCACGTGCACCTATCGGCAGGGGCGGGCGCAGGGGCGACCACGGACCAAATCTTTTGACACAGCTGGTTCAAAAGATTTGGTCGTCGTCGTCGTCGTCGTCATCGTCGTCGTCGACGTCGTCGTCGTCGTCGCCCCGCAATCCACCAAATCGGCCGTTGCCCCAGCAGGTGCACCACTGCGCCATAGGATGCGCCATCAGCTCCGCCATAGGATGCGCCTGACACCCCCCAGTCCACCTAATCGCTAGCCGACTCATCGGTGTTTCGAATGGGGTGGAGGGAGATGCGAGAAGCACGGCACCTTATACTCATCCATGAGCTTGCTCGTGGTGATCGTGATGGGCTTGGCCTTCCCCTTCCCCTTGCCCTTGCACTTGCCCTTCGGGGCATCGGTGTCCTTGGAAAGCTTGACCTCGCAGCCCTTGATCTCGACGATCTTGTAGATGCCGTCGTCGCCCGACTGCGCCTTCACCAAGACGCCGACGTCGAAGCCGAGGTCGGTAATCACCTTGCCGTCGACGACCATCTGCCCACCAGCAGACTGGACGTACTCGACGAAGCCGCCCGAAGGGGCAGCAGCGTTGGTAGTGTCCTTTTCCGTGGTCCAGGGGGGCGTCACATTGGCAGCAAGTGGGCACGCGATGCACAGCTCCTCAATGAACTTGGCCTTGATCTCGTCCAGGGTTCCGTATACCTTCCGCCCCTTTGCCTTTTTGGCCATAACCATCATCACGCAACGAACTTGAAAATCGCCTGCAAGTTTGGCGGCTGCCACGGCCGCTAAACCAGTGATCGTCTTCATGAACGCGTCCACCTCCCCAAAGACGACGTCGCACGCCATGACCTGCACGTGCTTCTTGCCCGTGTGCTGCAGCTCGGCGAGGTCGCTGCCAGTAATCATGTTAGACACTCCGTCTTTGCAAAACGTATCTGGTGCAACGAGGCACGCCTTCAAGCATGCTACGATCCACCGTGGGGCGCAGGCCAGCTGGGCGCCCGCCAGCGCCGTGAAGGTCTTCGTCGAGACGTCCTTCCTCTCGTCGCCGATGCACTTGGAGTAGTTGACGATCTCAGTCAGGAAAGGGCCGTCCCCCCCCCGCTCCACTTCTCGACGAAGCTGCACATACTCCTCACGTGCCCGCGAAGGGCGGGCTTCGACTTCTCAAGTCGGGCAGTGATGCCATCCCAGTCCGCGTCCTTCTTCATCGCCAGGTTTGTCGAAGCCCACTGGGGTCGGTGGCAAGTGAAACGCAAAAACAAATATCTTTTTTGGGTGCACCCAAAAAAAGATATTTGTTTTTGCATTTCGGATGCCACCAAGGACCTTGTGGATACGCTGCAACGTTTGCATCTTGGACTCGTGGCGGTACGAAGCGTGCGTCTCGTTGAACGCCTCCTGCAACAGAGATGCTAAGCCCTCAAACTTCTCCTTCACTTCCCACTTGATCACGAGGAAGCGCATCCCCTGGGTCATCGGGATGCTGTAGGACGACGCCTTGCCCAGAACCAAATCTTTAGAAATCGTGCCGTCGGACATGCAGATCTCAGGATTGATGCCCTTGGCACCGTACATCGCACACCTCACGGTCGCAACGGTGTGGGACGCGGCGACGGTCAAGTATTTTAAGTCCGAGTCGGTGAACGGCACTAGGTAGCCACCACTGCGCTCCCACAAATCCTTATTGAATGTCCATGCCTCCATGCCCTTATCACCAGGGGCCCTCTCGAAACACGTCGCCTGCCTGCACTCTTCTGGGTCGAAACCTGCGTTGAGCAACTTGTCCAGTAATTCGTGCACGTCTGCCACTTCTAATCCCAAGCCCCAGCGGTTGCTATTGTCCGTCCCACAGAACTGCGCGGGCAACTGCTGAAAATACGCCAACCCATGTTCAAGCAGCAGGTTGCAAATCTTCCGTACCTCAGCTTTGATTTGGTTTTGCATTCCATTTTCTCCAGCAGTGCCAGAAAATCTGTCGATGATCGGCTTGATGGTTGGCTCTACTTTATCCTATGCTTCGTGCACAGCGATAGTAACCATGAGGCGATCGTTTACGGGTACCCCGAACATGAACGATCTGCGAAGAGCCCAAAACAGCTATATACAGGATTGACCACGATGGTAATTACCATCCTCGCACACAAAAACTACACCTCGGCGAACAATATCTTACACAAATGTGGTCTCCAATAACGCAATTATCCCCGCACAACAAAAAATTCTGCACGCACCTGCGGAAAAAATCAACTGATCTATGTTTTTGTTCATATCTATCCTGGTTGCTATCCTGGTTGCTATCCTGTTTGCTGAACTACTTAGTAACCCCCCCAACCTCCTTATCATCCACATACATATATATAGTAAGCCCAAGCGTAAGTACGCTAAGCGTTTACAAACCTACAAAGATCCACAATGGTAAACACCGTCTGTAGTTAGTGTGGATGAACAAACCTCCGTAAACGAATCCGCTGGTTAGGAAACGCATGCGGCACATGTATGTTGTATGTGGAACTTATATGTACGTTATATCAATGATGTATGTTGTATGTATGCAACTTATATGGGCGCGGTGCGGATGGTAAGCAGGGCGACGATCTCAGTAGTGGTAGGGTTCGCATGTGGCCCCCTATCCAGGGAATGCGTCGAGACCTCCGGGGGGCGGCGTCATGAGCAATTCAGGACGTCGTGGGTTCTGGGATCCCCGAGCACCGCCCGAGAAGTTTGGCCGTTCGGAACAGGTGGGCAGCTCCAGGGTTCGCCCGACGCACCCCTATCGAGGCTGGGCGCGCCACCATTGTATAGCACAGGGTTGGATCCCGTCCTCCTCCTCCTCCTCCTCCTTCTCCTCCTCCTCCTCCTCCTCTCCTCTCCCTCCTCCTCCTCCCCTCCTACGCTGGGCTCCTCCTCCTCCTCCTCCTCCTCCTCCTCCTCCTCCTCCTCCTCCTCCTCCCCCTCCCCCTCCTCCTCCCCCTCCTCCTCCTCCTCCCCCTCCTCCCTCTCCCCTCCCTCTCCCCCTCCTCCCCCCCCTCGAAGTCGGAGATTGGGGTCGCGGGTGGGGGGGCGGGCGGGGTGAAGGGAACTGGGGAAGGAAGAGAGTCACCAGTGCCGCTGCCCGTCCCCCGTTGTGGGACTTCTTGCCGGAGTGACCTTCCCCGAGGGCCTGGCGACCTTATTTGTTCTCGAGCCGGGCGTCTCCGCCCCCATCGTCGGGCCCCGGGAGCGGTCCGGCTCGAAGGATGATGCAGAAGCATGGGGTCATAGGGCTCCGGCCGTGACTTTTCACGATGTTTCAATATTTCAAGGAGACGTCGGATCTCCAGGCTTGGTGCGGGCCCAATGGCTCCCCCCCCGGTCGCGGCACGCGATGCGACAGCAGCGACCTGCGCGCCTGGCGGTGTCATCCAAAGGCCCCCTACTTTGGGCAGCGCACAGCAGACCGCTCTTGCCTGGAGAGTCACTCCTGCGTGCAGCTTGGCATCCCTCGGGCGTGTGTATTTCTTCTCGGCGGGGACCATCGACATGCATCCTGGAGCATCGAGCATCGATGACGGGCTTGTTTTCCACCGCCACCATCACCATAAGTCGGAGGGTGGAAGGAGGTGGAGGATGACGAGAAGTACGAAGAGGTGGAGAAGGAGCAGGAGGAGGAGGAGGACCAGGAGGAGGACCCCCTCCCCCCTACTTAGTACCCACTTATGGTGGTGTCGGTGGAAAACAAGCCCACCAATCGAGCACCATTACGCGCGAAGTCGAAGACAATGCACGGGGGCGGGACGTCCGAGCAGGCAGACGAGAGGGGCCCTCGTCACCACGGCTGGATACACCTCGGGCTCTTCCCCGGTTGGAGAGCACCCCCAAGGGAAAGGGACGGCCTCAGTGCACTAGGGCAGTGCAGGGGGGTACGCGCGCCTCCTCCTCCCCCCCTCCTCTTTCTCCTCCTCCTCTTCCTCCTCCTCGCCCTCTCCCGCCTGCTCCTCCTCCTCCTCCTCCTCCTTCTCCTCCTCCTCCTCCTTCTCCTCCTGCTCCGTCTCCTTCTCCTCCTCCTCCTCCTCCTCCTCCTCCTTCTCCTCCTCCTCCTCCTCTCCTCCTCCTCCCCTCCTCCTCCTCCTCCTCCTCCTCCCCATCCTCTTCCTCCTCGTCTTTCTCCTTCTCCTGCTCCTTCTCCTCTTCCTCCTCCTCCTCCTTCCTCTCCTCCTCCTGCTCCACCTCCTCCTACTTCTCATCCTCCTCCTCCTCGCCCCCCCCCCCTCCCTCCTCCTCCTCCTCCTCCTCCTCCTCCTCCTCCTCCTCCTCCTCCTCCTCCTTCTCCTCCTCCTCCTCCGCCTCCTCCTCCTCCTCCTCCTCCTCCTCCTCCTCCTCCTCCTCCTCCTCCTCCTCCTCTCCCCCCTTATGTCGCGATTGTGTCTCAAGCGGGCGCAGCTGTATAGCCTCATTTGGCCGTCTTCTCACATCTCTCGCCGTATGGCCCTGCCCCATGAATAGGTCGATCAGTTGCGCGATGAGCTCCTTCGGGAGATTGCCAGCGCAGCGGACCAGCACTTCGAAGGTATCCCCGCCAGCGCCCGTTGACATGGCTACTTACCCAGCGACATGCGCAGCAAGATCATCAAGATCAACTTCTGCTACAACCTCGTCATGCGCATCACCTCCAGCAGCGTGACTGACTACGTCAACGAGGTGACTTCGAAACTCAAGTATGGCGACTTCGAGTCCGAAGGCGCTCCCATCGACACGGCCGCACTTCCGCAGCACGCGTCTTCTGCCTGCAATTCGGGAGTGGAGCCGCCCGCGTTGCACACCTGCGACACGAGCAGCACTGGAGAGGGTGAGGACGAGAGCTTGGACACAAGCGCCAGCGAGGACGGCGTGGACGAGAACTTGGCCAACGACCTTCATAGCGGTATGGAGGACAAGCTTATTTCGCTAGCGCGCGAGGAGTTCGACATTGGAGACGGGGTTAAAGTCAGCACTCAGACATTCGATTCGTTTCCGCTCTCGCATCCTGGGTGAACCAGCCCAGCTTTTTCCCGAGGCGCTCGATCACATGGTGGGTGCGGTGACCGAGAGCTTCTACAGGCTCCAAACAGCTTGCGATGCACTTTGTCAGGCCGGCGTTGCTTGGTCCGGTTGCGCGGCCGAGCTTGCCGGCTCTGCGGCCCACTCTATTCCTGAAGAGTTTTTTGCGCGAGGATGTTAACATGGGAGAGTCGGCCCCGACCTTTCTAGATCACTTGGAAGAGAGGCAGGCGTTCACGAAGTCGTTTCTGCACGGGTTCCGGGCATTGGCTGTCATAGCTGACCTCAACTTCCCTGCCGACGCAGACCACGACTACCTCGAGCTCGCCTTCGACGGCGGTGCCCTTCTGTATTCTGAGAGGCTGGATGGCGACCCTGAGTCGTGGCCAGCCCTTCCTCCTCCTCCGCCCCTCCCCTCGCTTTGCATAGTGTTAGATCAGTTTCCGCATGAATGTGCCCTTGTATACTTTGCTCCTCAGGTATGGTTGAATGTGCAGCGCCGTCGCCCTTATTATCTTCGATGTGCTTGTGCAGCGTCATCCGCTTGCTCTGCATCGTCTGTAATGCGAATGCCATTGTGATGATTGGGACAGGAGCCTTGGGGACTCTGCTGGTCACGGTACCGTAGTTGGGTCGGGCCGGCCAATCTCATTGCTGTTTCTCAAGGGCGAGTGAGTTCCTCGTCCCCCCCCCGCAGGAGGGACAGGACGGGCAGCAGCTGGGGGCCCCAGCTGGCGCGCGCCCCTCTTCCAGCCCCCAAGGAGTGGCCGTTGCCTGAGAGCCGACGCCTTTACACAAGTGCAGCATCGCGCAGACTTCTGCCTCCTCCACCTCCTCCGCCTCCGTCTCCTCCTCCGCCTCCTCCTCTTCCTCCGCCTCGTCCGCCTCCGCCTCCTCCTCCTTTTCCGCCTCTTTCTCCTTCTCCGTGCCAGGGGAGGCTGCGCGGGAAGGTCCACATCCCGCCTCCCATGGCCTTTTTGGGGCTGGCCGCCCTGCTGCCGAGGTGGGGGGGAGGGAGCGCGCCGACCCTGCCAGGCCCGGGCCCCTGATGCCGTCCTGTCCCCTTAGCCCCCCCCCGGGAACCCTTCAGAATTGTGTATGTGTGGGGGGCAGCGATCGTGCCTCTCCAGCTAGCAGCCATTTCTGGGCGCACGGCCGCCCCTCACACTCGACCCCCAAACTCGCACTGCATACTCGCAATTCGCACTCGCACCCCGCACTCGCCCCCGCACTCGCCCCCCGCACTGTGCGCCCACACTCGCACTTCATACTCGCACCCCGCACTCGCACCCACACTCACCCCTAACGCTTTACGCCCACACGACACGAACGCGAGACGCGGGTCAACTCGGCGCACTAAGTCGGGGACGCCCACCCCACGCACACTTCGCATTCGAGGGATCAGCTCGGACACCCAACTCGCGAAATCCATTCGGCACCTCCAATCGCGAAACCAAGGCGGCAAGTCAACTTGGCACACCAATTTGCGAACTCAACTCGGCAGGCCACCCCGCGAAATCAACACGACAAATCATTGTTGAATATCAATTCTGTAAATGAATTCGGCAAAGCAACTCGGGAAATCAATTCGGCAAACCAATTCGGGAAATCAACCCGGGAACTCAACTCTGGAACTGAACTCAGGGAGCCAACTCACACTTCGCAGTTGTAATGGTAAGTCAAAGCCC